AACGATCTTCTAAGCCTTAGAATCTAAGGACCGGGCGGCTTGCCGAGTGGTAAGAGATTAGTTGAGACCCAGCTAGAACTTGAACCCGTTTTCTAATGCCCAGCTGATGTTCTTTCCAAAATTTCACCATCCATTTTGCAATTTAGAGTAGATCCTCTCCTAAACTCTTTCCCTTTCCAAATTCTTTTTCCCTGCTGGTTCCCAGCTAGCTGCCCATCCTCAGACAAGATGTCATGTGTGTATGTCTCATGTTGGATTCTTTAGGAAACAGACTCTGAGGCAGAGGTCTGCATGCGGGAGGTTTTTTGGAGGGGGATGTTGGGAACTGTACCTCGAAAAGACTAAGGGAGGCAGGTTTGGGCAGAAAAAGAAGTTAGGCTTCACCCAACCCACACAGCACTCTGGAGCTGAGATGGTCCTTCAGAGTCATCCTAGATCAAGGGGAGGGGGCAGGACCTTTAGACTTTCCATATTGACCGCTCATTGGATGCAAGGAGCATAACCCCAGGCAAGGGAGCTTCCTTCAGCTAAGAGCAAAAATCGGGGGGTTGACTGTGGACTGAAAGGTCCCAGGTTCGATTCCGGTCAAGGGCATGTACCGTGGTTGCGGACACATCCCCAGTAGGGGGTGTGCAGGAGGCAGCTGATCGATATTTCTCTCTCATCGATGTTTCTGACTCTCTGTCCCTCTCCCTTCCTCTCTGTAAAGAATCAATAAAAAATATTTTTAAAAATCGGGGGGCTGAAATGGAAGTGTTGGCATGGTTCCATTCCTGTCTGGAGGCCCTAGGGAAGAACCTGCTTCTGTGCCTTTTCTAGAGGCCGGCCCCATTCCTTGCTCGTGGCCCTTTCTTTGTCTTAAATGCCAGCAGTGTCACATATCTCTGACCTTTCTTCTGTCCTCACATCTCTCTCTTTCTGACCACATCAGGGAAACGCTCTCTCCTTTTAAGGACTATGTAATTAGACAGGGCCCACCTGCGAGATCCAGTCTTATCTCTACATACTAACCTATTATCTCTACATACTAACCTATTCACATGTAGAAAGTCCCTTTTGCCATGTAAGTATTCACGGGTTCCAGGGATTAGGATGTAGATATCTTTGGGGGCCATTATTCTGCCTATCACAATCTGGATGAAACATTTTTTGGTAAAAACACTTCATATGGTAAGAGCAGCATTATTCAAAATAGCCAAAAATGTGGAAACAACCCAAATGTTCAGCAGCTGATGAATGGATAAATACAAGTGTATATCCATACAATGAACTATTGTTCAGCCATAAAAAAGGAATGAAGTACTGATTCATGCTATAACATGGATGAACCTTGAAAACATTATGCTGCTCTGATCAGTGTAGCTCAGTTGGTTAGAGCGTCACCCTGAACACTGAAAGGTTGTGGGTTCTAGGCCCGGGCAGGACACATACCCAGGTTGTAAGTTTGATCCCCATTAAAGGTACATACAAGAGGCAACCAATCAATGTTTCTCACATCAATGTTTCTCTCTCTCTCTTCCTCCTTCTTCCTTCCTCTTTCTTGAAAATCAATTTTTTAAAAAAATGCTCAGGTGAGGATTATTTTTTAAAATTATGCTAAGTTAAAGAAGCCAATCACAAATGTCACATATGTATGATTCCATTTATAGGAAATAAATAAGCAAACATCCAAAGTAGACTAGTAGTTTTGGCTGGGGAGAAAGGGCAGATGGGGAGTGACTGCTAATAGATATGGGAATTTGGAGAAGGGGGTAATAAAAATGTTCCAAAATTAGATTGTGGTGATGGTTACACAACTAGGTGATAGAGAAAAATCATTGAATTGTACAAAGAGATGAGTTTTATGGTATAAAAATACTATCTTAATAAAGTTGTTTCAAAGTGCTTTTTAATTATGCTACATTCTTTTTTAAATATATTTTTATTGATTTCAGAGAGGAAGGGAGAGAGATAGAAACATCAATGATGAGAATCATTGATTGAATACCTCCTGCATGCCCCCTACTGGAGATGGAGCCCATGACCCAGGCATTTGCCCCAACTGGGAATCAAACCGGGATCTCCTGGTTCATTGGTTGATGCTCAACCACTGACCCACTATGGCTGGGCTGTATTCTTCACTTTGTATCACACCAGGAGATACTTTATATCTGGTTGTCCTTATTAGTGAAAAATGCTAAGGTCGAATTCTGGGTTAAGGTGGTAACCACTGGTGGAAACTATATTTTTAACAAGTGCTTCAGAAAAGTTATCTACCTTGCAGAAATAATACTGCCTTATGAGGATGAAACTAGAATGTGACATATTTAGTAAATCATTAATATGGTAGGTAGAAAAAGCACCACCATCCCCAAAGAAAAATGTCCATGTCCTGATCCTTGAGACCTACATAGCAATAGGAACTTTGTAGGTGTGATTAAGTTTAAGGGGCTAGAGATGGGGAGATCATTCCGTATTATCTGGTGGAATCTCTGGAGCTTGAAATCCTGATTCAGGAAAAATATTTTAAATGGTAGTTCTTTTCAACAATGCATTTTCATTCAGCAACATTAGAACCTTTACCACCAATATTGACTGTTCCTGAAAGGAAATACAGCTCAGGTTTCCCCCCTGTTCCCCAGACCTCCTACTCCTCTACTAGTTACCACCTAGTTAAAGGCATCTACCATTCATCCAGTTGTAAAGAGAAAAACAGGAAAAATCCTAGACTTGGCCTTTTTTCTTACTTTCATGCTCACTTACCAGATCATAATTTTATCTCCTAAATATTCCTTCAAATTTACTCTTGTTTTCTCCATGCTATGCAGGGGGCCTCATCAACTCTCACCTGAAATATTCATTCATTCATCAAATATTTACTGAATGCCTCTTTTGTGCCAGGCATGATTCTTGGAGTGTGCAGTCAAGTAGAAGGATAAGGGGGATGGGGAGGATATAGAAAGCAGGGAGGCACCCAGCCAGCGTGGCTCAGTGGTTGAGCGTCAACCTTTGAACCAGGAGGTCACGGTTCCATTCCCAGCCAGGACACATACTGGGTCTCAGGCTCAATCCCCAGTGTGGGGCATGCTGGAGGCAGCAGATTAATAATTCTCTCTCATCATTGATGTTTCTATCTCTCCCTTTCTCTCTGAAATCAATAATTTTTTTAAGGTGGGGGGGATTGAGGATGTAGGAGAGGAAAGAATTGCTGAACTGATGTCTTTAGGCAGGTGATCTAGGAAAAATTGGAAAAGTTGTCCTTGCATGCCCAGGGGCAATTCAGGTTATAGTAACGGGAAGGAAAGGCAGAGTATGTGGGTATAGATCAGTGGTTCTCAACCTTGGCTGCACATTAGAATCACCTGGGAATCTTTTTAAAATCCTGATTTCTGGGCCTCATCCTCCGGAAATTCTGTTTCTTTGTTACTAATGTTGTGGCCTCACCCCATAACAAAGACCAAGGTTGAGAACCACTGGTATAGATGCTCATAGGTAGGGAGATGTGGTGGTTGGGGAAGCTCTTTTGATTGCATCAGTTTTCCAAGTGCAGAACAAGCTGACAGTGAACATGAGGGCAAGGTTAAAGGAGCTATGTTGCAGGTTAAAGGAGCTGTGAAATACTCATGTAGGACAGGAAGTGGAAAAAAGAAATACAATGTGTTTGCTGGGCAGCAGTAGGGTGCACTCAAGGTTCAGAGTAATGATGGAGGTACAGGGAAGCATGTCAGCATGACTGTATTTTTCTGCAGGCCTGTTCGGCTGCAAATTTAGATTTAATCACAGTTGTAATTTTTACCTGAGTATGATGAACAGAACTAAGGGAGTATTTTAATTTAAAAATTTTTAAATATGTTTTTATTGATTTTTAGAGAGGGAGAGGGACAGAAACATCGGCTGCCTCCTGCAACCTGGGTATGTGCCCTGACAGTGAATTGAACTGTGGCCTCTTGGTTCATGGGTGGACACCCAACCGCGGAGCCACATCTGCCAGGCTTTAATAAAATTTAAGCAGAGCAAGAAGGAAACATCAGGGAAGTGAGGCACGGTGAAAAGGGGGTAGGAACAATGGATTGGACGCAGAATGAAGGGATTGCATTGATGTGTCCTAGGAGTGAGCTGCAAAGAGAGAAAGGAGTGGTCAGAGTAGGATGGATGAAACAGAGAAAGACCACGAAGGGCTGTGGTCACTGGTAATAACAAGAAATAATAACAGATGTGCTTAACAAAAGCTTTCTACCAAGGGGAGGGGGGGAAGCCTTTCCTCTCAAAATTAGCATATTCCTCAATATTGAGCATCTGCGCGGCGCTAGATCCGGGTAAAGCCGCAGTCTCTTCCAAACCTTCAGATCACGGGTGAACGAAAGACAAATTCCTTTCACGTATTCATGCGAACGGCAGGTTGCAGCATCAACATTTTATTGCATCCATTATGCGTCCTTATACAGAATACAGTCTTGGGGGGGGAAATTCCAACACAAAAGGCCCCTCTGCCTCTCACTTCCGCTCGCCCCGATCCCACGTGTCGGGGAAGAGTGACGAGAAGGAGACCGGGTCGGGGCTCCCAGACGCAGGGAGAGGGGACCGCGAACTCGGGACCCCGCAGAGGCCGCCGGGCCGCC